AAGCATGTCCAGCGTGTCATCAATTCTTGGCAAGGGATAGCTGTCCTTCTTCGTAACGTCGTTCAGACGGCGGTAGTCAACACAAAACCGCATGCTGCCATCCTTCTTCTTTACCAGCACCACTGGTGAACACCATGGACTAGAGGAAGGTTCAATAACACCATCCTTCACCATTCCTTCAATCATGGTTTCCACTTCCTTTTCACGTGCTACCGGCAATCTTCTTGGTCGCTGACGGATAGGCAATTCTTCTCCTGTGTTTATTTTGTGTTGAACTAAGCCAGTCTTTCCTATGTCAGCATCGTTTGATGAGAATACATCGGCATACTTGAGTAACAACTTCTTCGCCTTGACCATTTCGGTCGGGGAGAGAACGCTGCGACAGTCTTCCAAAAGTGTGGTCACTCTCGTTTGTGCATCCTTGCTGGGGGTCTCACTCGATAGATATTGGCACCGACGTAACCAATCCACTTCCTCAGAAGTACCAACCAGCGTGCCTTTTTCTATAATCTTTTCCCGGTCACAAAGGTTCAGCACACGTACTCCTGACATGTCAGTGGTTCTGACCAAGGTTCGAGCCACTTTCCATGGAAGGTCATTGTATACCCTTTCCACAAGTACACAACGGTGAGCTTGCCCAGCGTTTCGAGGAAGACTAACCGGAACAATCATTTCCGATCTCGGCGGAAGAACAATCTTCTTAATGCTGTACACGTTCCCTGGTAACGCACCTTCCATAAAAAGTTCCTCCTGTCCACATTTCAAAACACCTTGCTTAACGTCGATCTCACAACAATTATTCCTCATAAAGTCTAGGCCCAGGATGCAGTCGTCCATTATATCAGCCACGATGACATTATGCAGGTAGATCACGTTGCCTAGCTATTAACTCCATCTCCTTCTCTCCACGGACGGGTATACGCTGACCGGTGGCTGTTACCAAATTAATGGTTCTCGGTTGTGTGCGGAGTCCCTAAGGAACTGACTTATAAGTTGGGAACTAACAACCGTACGAGAGGCTCCAGTGTCTATGGTCAGTTTACACGGCATTCCGTTGACCTCGCCCTTGACGATTAGACTGTTTCCATCATGGGTTTGTGAGATCGAGATCCTTGGGGCTCTTTTAACATCAGCCAGCACCCGCCCCGCAGTTCTGGCTTTTACTCGTTTCCCTGCTGCTGCTGGGCGGTGCTGTTGGCCGCACTACCCTCCTGAGATCGTTCAACTTCCCTTTCTAGGGTTCGCTTAGGGCAGCTGGATCGAAGATGGCCCTTTTCTCCACAGCCATAGCACCTAGGGCTGTATCCTTTGTTGCGGTCGCGAACTGTAGCTGCTGCGATCTCCCTGACGCGATGGAAACGATGATCCTGCCGCATGGCTTCTACCTCCAGTGCATGGGCCAAGGCGTCCTTAAGCGTCTCGTGGTGCCCGAGCCTCACAGCAGCTCTGACTTCCAGGTCGCGGATGCCGTCGATGAATGTCTGCACCAGGTTCCCTTCAATGAGCGCAGGTACAGACTGGTATGCTTTTCGAACCATCTTCTCCACCTCTAGAGTTCACTGCTCATTTCGTTGCTGCGTTGCACGCGATCTCTAAGCTGCGCTCGAAAAACGTGTTCCAGGTGAGCGTCGCCATATCTAGCCTCCAATGCCTCAAGGAGCTGCTCGTAAGTCACTTCTTTACCGAGAGCTTCTAGAACAGTTAAGGCCCGGTCGCGCAAGCCTAGTGTGAGAGCAGTCATGGCCTGACTTTTATTCCAGCCGTTTGCCTTCATAACAGCCTCGAACTGGATTTTGTAGGCCGCCCAGGAAGAAGTCCCGTCGAACGGCGGCACTTTGAATCCACGTACTGAAGGTGTTGTAGCTACCACGGGAGGTGTAGTTCCATCCCCCAGTTTGAGATTATCCAACGTTTTCTTCACATCACACACGTTGTCTACCCGATTGTTCACTTGGTCGATTTGGGTTTTAGCTTCCTTGATTTGGGTTTCAGCCTTCGCGATTTGGGTTTCAGCTTCCGACAGGCGGTTGTCATGCTGAGCAACCCTTACCTTAACCTCCTTTATCTCCTTCCCGAAGTAGCGTGAAGATCCTTCATGAGGAGCATTTGCTCTTCCAACCGACGGGCCTGTTCCTCTTGTCCGCCCCGCAGCTGATCTTCCAAACGACGGACCTGTTCTTCTTGTCCGCCCCGCAGCTGCTCTTCCAAACGACGGACCTGTTCCTTCTGTCGGCGAGCCTGTTCCTCCTGCTGCTCTTTCAACAGACGGGCCTGTTCCTCTCGTCCGCGCTGCAGCTGCTCCTGTAGCATCGCCATCAGAGCACCTAAGTCAGGTGCTGCAGATGTAGGAGCTACTGACGGGCCCGCAGCCTCCGTGGCTGGCAGTTGGCTCTCCGACGTCTGCAGCGTTGCACCACCAAATCTCCTCTGGTCCGTCTCATGCTGGCGTTGACTGCGGGTACGGACACCCTCCGTTTCCTCTTTAGGTAAAATAGGCATGATTTTATCCCACTTCTGACACCAATTGTTACGAGCTTGAGGTTCGTGACCATAAAAATTGCCGATAAAATTACCTAAATTAACACTTTAATTTTCTTTACACAAATTTAAACTTAAAATACTAATAATTAATCACACTGATTCACTTTGTTCCGCTCCGAAGCTTCGCTTGTCTCGCCAAATTCAATACTTCCCCGATCGCACCTTGCAGCGCCTATAAATACACATTAGTACCGAATCATCCAGAACATTCAAGTAAATACGCGCACCAATCGACAAAGCGCCGAAAGTTCGAGAGTCAGCTTCCAGAAGCTTAGTTCTTCAATTTGATACTAGATGGCGCTGTCGGTTGAAAGATTAGTAATGTCATTTTCTGGAAAGCTCTCTCGTCGCTCTGTTACCCGACACTAGATGGCGCTATTGCCAGATGTCAACTTAGCCGCGCAACAATATGTCACTCCATTTTTAAATCGACATGATCTAATTCTAATGGGTATGGCTACTTGAAGTACTCTTATACCTTTTGTAGTTACAAATACAGGGGAACCATCATACTTGTTCAAAAAGCTCATTTTCTTGCAGAGTGCTGTTAGGATGGCATCACCTCCTAATCATCACACAGCTGCCCTTCATTGCAGTTTCCTTTTTACTGCCACAAAGAGCTGGAATGATATACCACCACCCATCAGAAATTGTAAGCCAGTTGACAAGTTAAAACTTTAAAAAAAATGTTTACGATTTTAGTGCAGAAATTCGGCAAATAGCCATAAATGGTGCTTAGATCGAGAGTGTATAAATCATTCGTACACTCTCAATGCAAGCTCCGTACATGCATGCACGTACGCACACGCACGCACGTATACATACACACATACACAATTTTTCTTTATCTGTATATATTATATCTTCCTCTTCTTGTTATCTCTACAATATCAATGTACTAGTGCATAAAATTTTACTACGACAGGTTTGTTTATTTTCTTTTTACTTTATATTTATTTATACGTCATCTACCTTATGCTCCTGGCTCTATTGAAAATGAGCGTTACTAATTGTTGTCTGTATTCCATTCTTAGCTTAAATCTGAGTAGAGACCATTTTATTAAGTTTTTGTTAATATGGAAAGTATTTTTTCTCTGTTTTTCTTGAATTTATTTCCTTGCTAAAATGTATGTGCTAAGTAAACGTATTTCTTTCTTTCTTTTTTCTATATATGAATAAACTTGTGATGGGCTGTAGCAATACTCTACAAAGTAATTGAGTCTTGTACAGAAATGACACTTGTTTATGTTTGCCAAAATTACTTGCTAGAAACTGTACATTCATATATAAAACCTCAAACATCTGCAAACTTCCCGGTAGTTCTCTCATTTTCGTCTAATATGAAAGGAAGTTTCTTACAACTATCGTCACGTGAAGCTCGTTAGAGCTAACGACCGTACCAAAAATAAGACGGCTATCACAAGTTCTAGGGATAAATTTCGGAGAAGTTTATTGTGGTGCATTGTCAACAAAATATGAAACAACTAGCTTTTTTCCCGCAGTTTTGCCCGCCTGGACATTGCTTTACAAACATAGAGTTTAATGCCAAAATTCTCAAAACGGAGCACCTTTGGAATACTCCCGTTGTTTGTTAGTGTGTCTGTTTGTCACAAACGTTCTTCATATTATCACATGGATGATCAAAGTATGGATTTGGTTGTGATAAGTAAAATAGAAATCTACAAAAATTTTAGTTTTAAAGATCTCGAAGAAATAAAAAGAACATTTTTGTGTTATATGTATGTTATATCCCCGTCACCAAAAACATCTTCAAAGTTTTGGGAATATAATAGTCGAGATTAAAAAGATATGTAAAAAATATGAAAAAATAAATATAAAAAGAAGATATGATTTGCTGCATTATTATGCGCAAGAATTATAGCAAATCAGTTTCATAGGCACTAAAAGTGAGGTTTTATTTGTAAAAAAAAAATCTTTAAAATTATGCCTTTCGCGAAAAGGGGGGGGGGGCGAGAACGTTTGAGTGGGTTATTTACCGCGCCCAATTCCCCTCTATGTAGGTGTTTGACAGGAAAACCCAACTTGGAAAGAGCTTGCAGCACTAACCCAAAGAGGTGGGTTTCCATTGACCTCGAAATATATTTTCTTTAATTTCTCAGACATTTAAGCGTCTTCACGATCAATAGAAAGATAAACACAAAAAACGACAGACGAAATTCTACGAATCGCTAATTTGTATTCAGTGTCCTTTATTTAGCCTCTTATACTTGTTTTCCAGAAAATTTTAGAATTACAAACACGGCTTTTCTACGTTTCACTAAATATTAGTTGGACGTGGTGCAATTTCCTTCCTTACTATTGGCCATTTGGCGTAAGGTTGGTGAAAGGCAAAGTAACAATGTGGTGAAAGTATTAATACCCTGGGCGTTGAATATTTAGATCGCATCTCTTTATTTCTCATTTTAAAGATCTGTATTAATAATATGTAATCTTAATAGGCAGATAAGAACACCGAAGCTGTTCGTGACACCAGTAAGCTTGTTCTTGTCGATTAGGCTCACTAATAAATGCGTAATATATAAAGAAAGAAACAGATTCAATGAGGATTCAGTAAAAGCGAATATTTTTGCAAAACATTATTATAATATAAACTTCATGAAGGCTTTCATAATTAGAAACAAAAATTTTCACTTTAAATTATTAAAATAAAACTGGCAAATTGCTGAGACTTTTGGCAGTTCTACACCTTTCTCCTGGTCGTTAATTCTAACAATAGTGGAACGTAAACTGTGACAAACGTCATGCCTTTTAAGACACATGTAAAAAAAATTACTCCTTAATTAAAATCATTAGCATGGTTTATTAAAACATTACGCTTTTGTATTATCAAATTAGTTTTCGTTTTTATATTTGTCTATTTTATACTTGGTATATTACCAATTTAAAGTTGTTAAAGAATATTTGTTACCAACCTGTCGATTATTATAACTATTAGATATAATTACATACTTCTATGAATCAGAAATAAAATTTATCTACGTCTTAATACATAAAAGCCATTTTACAACATAAATAATTAAGCTACACTCCACTCACCATACGAAACACAGCAGCATTACGCTGCTATTTAACACTGCTATTTTATGCGAGCGTGGTCCTTCCTCGGTCATGCCAAACACATTTATATTTACATATTTTTATTTTGACGTAACTTAAGACAATATAAATTTACCTATAAAACGAAAATTATGTTGAAATATTTGCCTGTAAAATAGGGAAAAATTTGGTATTTACCAAACTGTTTTACTTAACCAGTAGATGTCTTATAATTATAATTTTTAAACGTCAAACTGCACGAATCGTGATATAAAGGTGACAGCCATATAAAAAAAAACGTTTATGAAAAGTTCAAAAAGAGAAAAATAAGCCTACTTTGCAAAATGTTTCTCGTACGATAATTCCAAAGTCAATAGATTCCACCTATAATGTAAAACAAAAGAGTTTATCTTGTGTATTACGTATTAATTTTTCTAATTACTAGTTTTAATCCAACACGTTCTACCAGCGTACGAACAAATGAGAAATATAATGGGAGCTCATCAAGGATCGTAATAGGATCGCTTAATACACTGACGTGACCTTATCTGACTGTTCAGTGATCTGACAGCTCTTAGTAAAGATATTCTTTGGAAATGTATTAATTATGTAAAATATTTTAGGTTAAAAAATATTATTGAAACTTTTTATAATATTTATTTTATTATTTTTTGGCTGATTGTATGGCGTTAAATTTCATATTATTTATAATTCTCGACATTTATTGTGTTTTGGAGCACCCATTCTTACGGAGTAGGTGGTCTGTGGTGATTTTTAATAGTTTAATATTTAGAATGAGTAACATTCGCGTAAATCGCCACCATCAGTCTATCAAAGTTTACTGCTTCACCATGGATTGTCTAACACGTGACGTTATCTGTCAGCTCAGTGATCTAACAGCTCTTAGTATCTGTTTTTTTTTTTTTACAAAATATATTTTATTACATTTTGTACGAGGTAGAGCCAAGCTGCAGCTATATTTTATTTGTAGCATGAATGGGTTGGCTCGAGCGGGGTTCCTGGCTGCTACAACTACACTACTAAAATAACTAACTCTACCACGTAAATATTTATTCTTATACCAAAATGTGACGGGGTTAACGCATTTTCTCCCCATCCCACTTTTTTCAGAATAATAGGAAGAATGCATTACCACTAAACATGGAAGTGGGTTCCTAGTCAAGCGTTGAATAATATTTTTTCATGAAAAACATATTTCGCTTAAGTTTTTTTTATTGAATATGTGTGGTGTGGAGGTGATAAACGAGCCCACAGTCCACCGGGTAGTAAGTGGATGATGTAACCCATAGATATCTACAGCTAATTTATATTAAGAATCATAATTCACATGCATTTTAACCCGTGAGGACTGAGAGAAAATTGATTCCTGTTCTCTACACTAACCACACGAAACACAGCAACATTAGCTGCTTTATTACGCTGATATTCTATAAGAGCGATATTCTTCCCCAGTTTAGCTGACCCATTCGTGGTACAACCATAATATAGCTGCATTTTGGCTCTACCACGTACATTTAAATACTGCACAAACATGACAGGCCGCCCAATTTTAATGCGACGGTTATAAATAAATGGAATAAAATAAAATGAAAACCTATTTTTTTGACGACAGAAATTAAAATTTCGTTTGTCAAAGATCAGCATGTTTTATAATCTACGAGCGTTTCAATATAAGGCTCCTCTGTCAGGAGAAGAAACGGCGAAAAGTATGTAGAAATTTTTTAGTAATAATAAAACCATTTTACTACCTACCAATATATGTAATATTTTATCATTATTCTTTAAACTTGGTGTGCAATTAAGAGTACTGAGTGGAGGTAGCTCAGAGGCTAGTAGGGCAGTACGAACCCCACCGGCAACAATGCCATTTTTAATTAAGGTGCTTATTAACCACGTGCTCAAGTTCAGACACAATGAGAAACCAGCATGTCTGAGAAATAAAAAAAATATTGGAAGACATGTTAAATCCAACAAGCACTCTCAGAAATGAGAGGAGGCCTGCGACCATTCGCCATTCGCAGATATAGACGAGTATTGCTCATAAATTAGTGAATATAAATTTATCATAAAAACTCCTATCACTGTTTATAGAATGACATACCATAAATATTAATAATTTTATTATTTCACTCATTAAACTGCATAAGTTCACCGGTTTACGTAGGATTTTACACTGTGGATAGGATTTGGCAGTGACGGACCTTCGGCAATATTCCCTACTGTAACTAGTCACAGATTTTATATCTGGAATAATACATGCTTGTGGGGTGGCAGCATAAGAGATGTCCCGTGGTTGTATAAAGAGAGTACTATTGGATCAGAAAGGAAGGATATTTGCAAGTCGGCTATTCAGCTATAGTGGGAGTGCTACCTTACACTCCGCTTACGGGTACAAGGCTACCACTCGAGAACTTTACTTCCCCATCGGTGGTCGGTCCTTCGAGCTATGGCTCTTCTGCACGCACGTTGGCACTTCTGCTAACGTATTAATTTATCGGGCTTAGTCGGTTACCCTATTTCTACCGCGCATGCCTTTACTACATATTGTATCACACAGAGAAACTCCGTGCACAGACATCTCAACATGTCGTTGAACGAATGGAAGCTTTGTAAATCATGTCTAATATCTATTATTAAGTTGTTTGAAAGTTAGCAACATAAGCATTGTTAGCTTTAGTCTACAAAGTTGCCGTTACCATTACTGTTACAGGCTAGTTTACACTGTTGAACTTTGTCTCCCCCATAGATTTCTTCATATCTACTACATTACAATACTAAAACCATGGTAACTATGAATATTTTCCATAATTGCCAGGCTAAGTATATGGGTTATCAATTGCAATTTTATATTTTATTCTTAGTCGTTAAAAGGAAGATGCTGCCGATCTTATCCTGATTTGATTCCCTCTGTCGCCTCTTCCGACACCCACATGGTGATATGGGGTAGTGAATATTCTTACACCGCCACTACACGGTGAAGTCTGTTAAGTAGTAGTCTGTTAGTAAAGGGACTTATTAAATTAAAAGGCGCAAAATACGATCGAGAGGGATAATTATTCTATACTAAATTTTTTCAACACACCGTCTATTAGTGACGTAAGGGAATTTAGCAGATGGGAAGTGCTAAGTCTCATAACCTCCGATAGATGGTAGTGTAATGTTACAGTTAAGAAAATTCTGATGCTGAAATCACCATAGTATTCCCAACCTCATTCGAAAAAGCTCATGGCTAACAGCGAACTTATATAGGCTGACATGGTGACTGCTGAAATGGTGACAAAATTTACAAACATCTCCTTCTGTGGGCAACAAAACTTTAATTATATACATGTGTAAATTACTAGTTAGTAATTTACACATGTATATAATTAAAGTTCTTTAATAAAGTATGCTAGCTTCATAATTAAGTGATAAGAAGTTCAAAGTCGATCAGTGCGCTATGGAGAGGGCTATGCTTGTAGTTTTCTACGCGTGATAAACTTAGGAATGAGGATATCTGCAGTAGAACCAAAGTGACCGATATAGCCCAACGGATTAGGAAACTGAAGTGGGGCCGGCCATATAGCACGAAGAACCGATAACCGATGGGGAAAAATGTTCTCGAGTGGCAGCTTTGTACTGGCATACGAAGATTAGGGCGTCCCTCTACTAGATGGAGTGACGACCTGGTAAGACGTGTAGGAAACCGAAGGATGCAGGTGGCTTAGGACTGTGCTTTGTGGAATTCCTTATGGAAGCTTATGTTTAGCAGTGGACTTGGGCTGTAATGATAAATGATGATGAAGTTTTGTAAGTTGTGTGATTTTTCTGTTCAATTGTCTGTATGCCTGTATGTCTGTATGAAAAATTAAAGACTGCAGCTTAATTTTCCATCTAACAGCCATGAGATTAAGAGTGTGATCGGAGAGTATTTGTGTTCTTCTATGACGGGTCTTACAGAACTCAGCTCCGACCGCATGGAAATTTTCCACGAGTTCTCATTCATACTAGCCGCTGTAGTCTTTTAGGCATTGAAAGTGGTTTTGTAACACGTGCTGAAATTTTTGGGGCTTTGGATTAGAGCAAAACAAGGACGGAACGTTGACATGATTAGACGAGACTTTTCCAAATTAACGATTAGGTTCAGTGTGCCTGTCATGTATTCGGTGATCGCTGCCAATTTTTATCCTCACGATCACCGAAACATCACTAAACAGTTTCCGTCTAGTCGTTATAATGAAGACAATCTTAGTTTGGTCAAACCGTTGGGGCTCGACCAGGTCCCCTTCGTGTGGGCCGCTTCTGGAAGAAAGAGTCATCATAAATAGTTTTTCTTTCTCCATGAAATTGGCCAGCTGCTGGCCCCTTAGGTTACTTTGCCCTATTCAGAATTTCCCTACCTTGAGCTCACCATTTTCTCTTGTGCCTGAGTAGCCGAATTTAGAAGTGACAACTGAGA